ATATTATATATTAGGTGTCAGGGTGTAGTGTATATATTATATATTATATGGTCAGGCTGTAGTGTATATATTATATATTAGGCGGTCAGGCTGTAGTGTATATATTATATATTATATGGTCAGGCTGTAGTGTATATATTATATATTAGGTGGTCAGGCTGTAGTGTATATATTATATATTAGGTGGTCAGGCTGTAGTGTATATATTATATATTAGGTAGTCAGGCTGTAGTGTATATATTATATATTATATGGTCAGGGTGTAGTGTATATATTATATATTAGGTGGTCAGGATGTAGTGTATATATTATATATTAGGTGGTCAGGCTGTAGTGTATAAATTATATATTAGGTGGTCAGGCTGTAGTGTATATATTATATATTAGGTGGTCAGGCTGTAGTGTATATATTATATGGTCAGGCTGTAGTGTATATATTATATATTAGGTGGTCAGGCTGTAGTGTATATATTATATATTAGGTGGTCAGGCTGTAATGTATATATTATATATTAGGTGGTCAGGCTGTAATGTATATATTATATATTAGGTGGTCAGGCTGTAGTGTATATATTATATGGTCAGGCTGTAGTGTATATATTATATATTAGGTAGTCAGGCTGTAGTGTATATATTATATGGTCAGGGTGTAGTGTATATATTATATATTAGGTGGTCAGGCTGTAGTGTATATATTATATATTAGGTGGTCAGGCTGTAATGTATATATTATATATTATATGGTCAGGCTGTAGTGTATATATCATATATTAGGTAATCAGGCTGTAGTGTATATATTAGGTGGTCTGGGTGTAGTGTATATATTATATATTAGGTGGTCAGGCTGTAGTGTATATATTATATATTAGGTGGTCTGGGTGTAGTGTATATATTATATGGTCAGGGTGTAGTGTATATATTATATATTATATGGTCAGGCTGTAGTGTATATATTATATATTAGGTGGTCAGGCTGTAGTGTATATATTATATATTAGGTGGTCAGGCTGTAGTGTATATATTATATATTAGGTGGTCAGGCTGTAGTGTATATATTATATATTAGGTGGTCAGGCTGTAGTGTATATATTATATATTAGGTGGTCAGGCTGTAGTGTATATATTATATATTAGGTGGTCAGGCTGTAGTGTATATATTATATATTAGGTGGTCAGGCTGTAGTGTATATATTATATATTAGGTCAGGCTGTAGTGTATATATTATATATTAGGTGGTCTGGGTGTAGTGTATATATTATATGGTGTCAGGGTGTAGTGTATATATTATATATTAGGTGGTCAGGCTGTAGTGTATATATTATATATTAGGTTGTCTGGGTGTAGTGTATATATTATGTGGTCAGGCTGTAGTGTATATATTATATATTAGGTGGTCTGGGTGTAGTGTATATATTATATATTAGGTGGTCTGGGTGTAGTGTATATATTATATATTAGGTGGTCAGGGTGTAGTGTATATATTATATATTAGGTGGTCAGGGTGTAGTGTATATATTATATATTAGGTGGTCAGGCTGTAGTGTATATATTATATATTAGGTGGTCAGGCTGTAGTGTTTATATTATATGGTCAGGCTGTAGTGTATATATTATATATTAGGTGGTCAGGCTGTAGTGTATATATTATATATTAGGTGGTCAGGGTGTAGTGTATATATTATATATTAGGTGGTCAGGGTGTAGTGTATATATTATATATTAGGTGGTCAGGGTGTAGTGTATATATTATATATTAGGTGGTCAGGGTGTAGTGTATATATTATATATTAGGTGGTCAGGGTGTAGTGTATATATTATATATTATATGGTCAGGGTGTAGTGTATATATTATATATTAGGTGGTCAGGGTGTAGTGTATATATTATATATTAGGTGGTCAGGGTGTAGTGTATATATTATATATTAGGTGGTCAGGGTGTAGTGTATATATTATATATTATATGGTCAGGGTGTAGTGTATATATTATATATTAGGTGGTCAGGGTGTAGTGTATATATTATATATTATATGGTCAGGGTGTAGTGTATATATTATATATTAGGTGGTCAGGCTGTAGTGTATATATTATATATTAGGCGGTCAGGCTGTAGTGTATATATTATATATTAGGTGGTCAGGGTGTAGTGTATATATTATATATTAGGTGGTCAGGGTGTAGTGTATATATATTATATATTATATGGTCAGACTGTAGTGTATATATTATATATTAGGTGGTCAGACTGTAGTGTATATATTATATATTAGGTGTCAGGGTGTAGTGTATATATTATATATTATATGGTCAGGCTGTAGTGTATATATTATATATTAGGCGGTCAGGCTGTAGTGTATATATTATATATTATATGGTCAGGCTGTAGTGTATATATTATATATTAGGTGGTCAGGCTGTAGTGTATATATTATATATTAGGTGGTCAGGCTGTAGTGTATATATTATATATTAGGTGGTCAGGCTGTAGTGTATATATTATATATTAGGTGGTCAGGCTGTAGTGTATATATTATATATTAGGTGGTCAGGCTGTAGTGTATATATTATATATTAGGTGGTCTGGGTGTAGTGTATATATTATATATTAGGTGGTCAGTATGTAGTGTATATATTATATATTAGGTGGTCAGGGTGTAGTGTATATATTATATATTAGGTGGTCAGGGTGTAGTGTATATATTATATATTAGGTGGTCTGGGTGTAGTGTATATATTATATATTAGGTGGTCAGGCTGTAGTGTATATATTATATATTATATGGTCAGGGTGTAGTGTATATATTATATATTAGGTGGTCAGGCTGTAGTGTATATATTATATATTATATGGTCAGGCTGTAGTGTATATATTATATGGTCTGGGTGTAGTGTATATATTATATGGTCAGGCTGTAGTGTATATATTATATATTATATGGTCAGGGTGTAGTGTATATATTATATATTAGGTGGTCAGGCTGTAGTGTATATATTATATATTATATGGTCAGGCTGTAGTGTATATATTATATGGTCTGGGTGTAGTGTATATATTATATGGTCAGGCTGTAGTCTATATATTATATATTAGGTGGTCAGGCTGTAGTGTATATATTATATGGTCTGGGTGTAGTGTATATATTATATGGTCAGGCTGTAGTGTATATATTATATATTAGGTGGTCAGGCTGTAGTGTATATATTATATGGTCTGGGTGTAGTGTATATATTATATGGTCAGGCTGTAGTGTATATATTATATATTAGGTGGTCAGGCTGTAGTGTATATATTATATATTAGGTGGTCAGGCTGTAGTGTATATATTATATATTATATGGTCAGGGTGTAGTGTATATATTATATATTAGGTGGTCTGGGTGTAGTGCTGTGTTAGGAGAGCTGGTGGGGTTCCAGCCGGTCTGCAATGTGAATAACCCGGACGGTGTTTGGAATATCTCCCGGTCGGACCATCGGTCACTTACCGACAC